AAAACCGAAGTTGATTTCACATAGTCTGCGTTGAAAGGTACTGTTGTAAAGTGCATGGCAGAATGAATACTCTTGTAGTTGCTACTGCTTCTAAGAGTTAGGTTTCACAGCTAACTAATCAAAGGCATCGCTATGTACTTCATACCGGTAGCGTAAACTTTATGATGGCAAAATCAAATTGTTTTTGTAATCGAAAAACTTCTAATCTTTCTTACTTATACACTCTAAAGGTAAACAACCCTATGTCATAAGTGGGTAAGTCATAAAGGTGGGCGTTCTCTTTGAGTAATTTTTGTACAATTCCCGAAGAACACCACAACCGCCAGCCACTGAACCAGTCAAATATATTTCACCTCTCATTATACAGGGTGATTCAAAATTCGCGTCATTCTTTTTAAGGGGTAATAGGGGCTCACTTATAGAGTACGAGAAAAATATAGAAATTTTTTATTTCGATAATTTCTAGAAGATGTTAACAGTTGAAAATCGAATGTCAACCTTGTTGAAATAAGGACGTTGTTTGTTGATAAAAAGGTGATTACACAAGTTCTAACTTGTTTCGAGTTAATGACTCAACTGTATGTTTATTTGAATTATTAAACATAAATTCGAGGTTATGAGGACAATAAGGACGATAATTGATATTTCGAAAAAGTACGTTCCACAGTCAACGAATCCTGTTGAATTTACCATTTATCCTTGTCTATTTTATTGTCACTTTCTGTATAATTCCATGGTTACCGAATATTTCATTAATTACGAAGCAACAGGTACTTCCGTAACGTTAACTAAGCAGATTACCTTGGAAAACATTGTTGCCGTCTTTTTGATATCGTTTTTTCCAAATTTATCAATTTTACTAACAATTAATTTTTTTAATTATTTTTTTGGTACTCCTGAAACACCGCCAGACAACAGCGTCAGAGGACTGACGCATATTTTGAATTACCCTGTATCTTGATATTAATGACTATAGATAAGTTCTATATTGTTGAGGCGGATTCATTTTTACAAACTTCTTTTTGGGTATTTCGCCTCAAAAATTTTTGTCTTTAAAAAAGACAGA